CCCCTGAGTGACCAGAAGGGATGGATCCAGCCCTTCCCAGACCTCATTTATGAGTTGGCAGCAGAGACAAAGAGATCCTTGGGTACCTGAGGCCTTTTAAAGGTAAGCAGATTATTTTCTTTGTTTCTGTGCCTATGGCTGTTGCATTTGAGCAAGTCTTCTCTTGCTGTAGTTTAAGACTTTGCTACTCTGCTGTCAGTGCTGCACTTTCTATCACATTACAACAGCCTAACCCACTCTCTCAGTTTGTCAGTCTGCTAACTATATCAAATTGTGTTAGAGTAATAGCATGCGTGACTCAGAAATGAGGAGAATGGAATAACCTACCTTCTGAGATTGCTATCACAAGATAGATACAAGACTATTCTATGTCTTAACATCAGATCTGATTGGTACATCCGCGTTATATTGTGACACAATGGCATCAATTGCTGCTGAAATAGCTCAGCCTTTCTTCTGGCTAGGAGACTGCAAGCCCAGAGATCAATGCAGAACATGGGACTGTTAGGAATCAAAGTGTACTTTGTGAAGAGAGGCATTAACAAACTTTATCCTTAATAGGATGAATGCATTCTCATACGCTTTAATCATCCGTGAAGGTCATGGAATTTTTCTATAGCTGACTCACTGCCCAATGCATGTAAAATCCCAGTGAGGGAACGCTGGATGGAAGCCAGACATTACAGATGGAGACCTTCTAGCTCTTGCTTTGGTGCTTCCTACAGAATTGGTCAAACCAGCCCCAAATCAATTAATCTCTTTAGAGAAATTGGTTCTTCTTCATTTGAAAAGTGTAAATCTGTGCCCTGGCTGAGACAAACCAACTCTGCCACATTGCCCACCCACCCCAAGTCACTTTGCTAGCTGAAGCCATGGGTGCCAGTGAAGCACTCTGGCCTCACGTGAGCCCCTTCTAAGAACAGACTGAAGGGCTCATCCTTTCACAGTGTTGTTACGGTTGAAAAGACCACTAAGATCATCTAGTCCAACCACCAACCCATCTCCACTATTCCCCCTCAACCATGTGCCTTAGTGCTACATCTACACAGTTCTTGAACACCTTCCAGGATGATGACTCCACCAATTAAATTCTGATTCATTTAATTAGCATTTATTCTGCTTTCTGTTAGTTAAAGGTGTGGCTTCAGTTGTATCATAATTGTGTATTGTCTGTGTTTTCTGTCACATTGGTCATTTTCACATCTATCTAAACATGCTGTTCTTTTTCTGCCTTGTTTAGTTTTTGGCCTCAGTAAATTCCTGTGGTAAAAAGCGCTGTGGATTAATTACAGTGTGTGAAATAAATACATTTTTATTTGCTCACATTCTAATGCCCATGTACTTGAAAAATCAGCATGAGAGGAGACCATATGGTTGTGTTAACTGATTAGATTACCTCCATATTTCCAAAAAGTGTTACTTCTGCCTATATTTTTTTTTCAGAGAGCTCATAATATGCAAAGAATATTTAAATTTATCTGCTTTCATGAAAAATTAATCAAGAGTCAAAGTTGTTCTTTAAGGCTGTATAGGAAATGCATGAATCTGGAAAATATTATGCTTATTTTAAAAAAAGATTTTCCGTAAAGTCTTCTGTGGGTTTAAAAAAAAAAAAAAAAAAAAAAAATGGGTGGAACTGTGCAATGTCACATCTTGAAAGGCAGCATCCAAATATACATCCTGAAGTAGTTCAGTAATTCCTGAAGTAATTGGGACTGAAGCGATCTAAGTATCCCATTCCTACCACTTTTACTTGCATTTATATGGAACCAATTTAGAATTCTTTTTTTCATCACCCAAACGCTTTCTGGACAAGGACACTTAAATTTTTGCAGCCTACATGTGTAATCTGGAATTTTTTATATATATATATTAGCATATTCTGCAGCCTTCCTGTCTCCTCATCAGAAACTGCCTGACTTACCCAACAGTGCATTCCATGGCAGGATGGAGACCTGGCAGAGCAAGAGAGAGATTTGTAGGGCATTTATCAATGCTCTGCACTGGTTCTTGTAAACTGAAACACGTGCCTGCAATTTTTCCACCGTTTCAGGTGATTTTCACTGTGCTATTGTAGAATAGTGAAGACTCCCCCACACAGTATTTCAGTGATTGCTCTTTGACCTTGGAAATATTTAAATTTCTCTTTAAATTTGTATTCGCATTATGTTGCAGCAGAAATATATAATGTATGAATGTTTCAGTAGATCACCTCAGGCAGCTGCTAATACACAAGAAACATGAAAGTCCTTTAATCACCAAAAACAATTGATTTTATTCTTGGGACAATTCATACAAACTGCAGGTAAACTGTTCCTCAACAATTTTATCTTACCTTACAGCCGTAACTCAGAATTGGCAGGTTTCTCCTGTTGGTGAAAATAATGATGGAGGAAGAGATGGGAGAGAAGGAAAAGCCACCTTGACCGCAGGTTTGACTTAGGGCAGAGTGTCTTTGGAGGCTTGTGTTGGTATTGTGCTTTGCTCTGGTTGTGTGATGCTGGCCTGTGTAGAAATTCACAGCTGTTCATCAAATTACCACGGTTGGAAAAGACCACTAAGATCATCCAGTCTGACCATCAATCTGTCACTATCGTACCACTAAACCATGTCCCTCAGTGCCACATCTCCCTGTTTCTTAGCACCTCCAGGGACTGTGACTCCACCACTTCCCTGTGCAACCTGTTTCAATGCCTCACCACTCTCTCTGAGAAGAATTTTTTCCTAATATTCTACTTGAACCATCTTTGGCACAAATACCCTGTCTTAAAATCCTCACGATTTCCTGTCCTTCCTTAACCTTTCTGTGCAGCACTCATCCCCTTCTCCATGTACAAGCCACCAGAGCAGGACAGTCATTGCTGGAGAGGATGCTTTTTCTTCTCTACCCTTGACTCAAATGACTGTTATGAAACAACAGTACTTTAAAAAAAAATTCCTAGGATGTAAAATCATAGATTGGTTTAGGTTGAAAAATTTGCTGGTTTGTTTTTAAGTTTCCCTCAAAAAGTATTTTGTAGACTTATGCCTTCAGCTCCTTCCTTTCTGAGTGTTGTTTATTCCTATGCCTTCAGATTTGCTGGAGGTTTGAGAAAACACCTATAGTGGACAGGTCAGAAGGATTTTAAACAAGCCAGTTCATAGAAAGCCGGTACATAGAAAAGAATGGTGTTTTTTAAGGCTCGTTGCAGAAACAACACCTCTGATGAGAAGGAAGAGATAAGAAAGGGAAGCATCTCTAAGCTTTTACTGTAATAGTTAACAAAAATATTGTTTTAGAATCTGAGTTACATTTTTGGTCCCTTTCGTGATATCTATCTTTTCTGTTAACATCAAAAAGTCCCTGTAGTATCTTGGTTGTGGATGGTCCTTGGTGTTCTTCTGTGCTGTGTTTTCTTTTCTGAAATTCTCTTTCTAACTCCAGCCTTGACCTTAGCCCACCTAACCCTAACATTTTTATCCTGGCCCCCTTCAACCACCCATCTCCTCCCTCAGGACTCTTTTCCACTACAAGCAGAAATCTCTTTATTTTTCAGCTACCTGTTTTCTTGGATCAGATACACCTAGAAACTGTTGCTACAGTTGCAATATTCAGATCTGTAATTGCTGGGGGACCTGAGTCCTCTGGTGTATCTGCCTTTGGGCTCTGCAACTCACTCCTGCCACCAGAGGCAGCAGACCCAGAAGTGTGAGCTCCTCGGGGAGTGGGCTGTAAGAGGTGGTAAACACTGTGGAGGAGCAGGGGTAAATGATTGATGCTGTCTGACTGGGATGTACGGCCCTTGCTTCTCCAAAGCAAAAGGAGCAACTGGAGTACCACAGTAAGGCATGCCTTGTGTAGCTGTGCTAATACTTCATTTACTGCTATGCATTTACTTTACAGTGGTTAATTTCGCATGTTATTGCAGACAGTACTGGTTCTGTTTGTGCAGTTATAATCTGTAGGTTGTCAGGCAGGTTCCCGTTCCAGGAGTGATTCTCTTAATGAAGGTTAGCACTGTTTGTCTATTGTGCAGGCATTGCTGCTTTTGCAGTTCATCCAGTATCCATTTTCTACTCTAATCCCATCTTTATGGACTGTGGTTAACATGTTATCAAGGTATGCCATCAGAATGGCACAATAACCTTGTTCCAGTTATTTTAGTCACTAAATTTGTGCTCAAACAAAACATTATTAAAATGTTTTAGAAATACTTAACTGATGGGAATAGGTAAGACTTGAGGTTTTTTTTCTTTCCTCTTTTTCTTGTAACCTGAAAAAAGAGTGTATTCCTGCCTTGTTCCTGTCATTTTCCATTAGCATCCAGAGTTGGCCAGAGGATGCTGAACTTGTCTCCAGTCTGGTCCATTCTTGCTCTGTTATTCAGACTCCAATACAAACAAGAGGATAAGAGCACAGAGCACTGATATGCTGCTTTCTGTAATGCAGGAGCTCGCAGGGTCCCATCTGGCATTTCTAGAAGCTGTTTTTCTCTGATTCAGATAGAAATCCCATTCCCAAAGCAGCATATTCTGGATTACTAGGCTTCTTCCTAATTAAAAAGAGACAAATGCACTCCCGTGTGCTGCCTTATGTGGAAAAGGGCAGTCTGTGTTCTTCTTACCTACTTTTCACTGTCATTGCCAAGAAACTAAGTTTCACAGCGGCATCAGCAATTAAGAAGAGAATTCCTTCAACAGATAGCAAGGCAAAGCTCTTTAAAAAAAAAAAAAAAAAAAAAGTGAGGTTTTTTTCCTTACCAATTTACATCTTGGGTGTTATTTTTTGTTGTTGTTGCTTTCATTTTTTTTATGAATGTTCACAATCTTTACTACTGCATAGGGAGCATGCTGGGATGAGGCTTAAGGATAAATTTCTTCCCAACACTGTAAGCTCCTGTAGAGCTGTGTTGTGTGACTGGCAGCCTGCCCAGGCAGTGCCCACGTGTGCCCATCCAAATGACTTATACTTGGTGTGTGGACAAACACTAGTTCTGCATGCAACCTTCAGCCATCGCACCATGTCGCAGTGTGGCCAACCTCAGAAAATAAGATGTTCTGGGAAGTGTCTTGAAGGGGTCCTAAAATCTCCAGCTGCGGAGCCAGGTGAGCTTTCTAAGCAGACTGAATCCAGAGCAATGGAGTGCTGTGCTCTTCTGTTTTCCCTGAAACACTAATACACAATATGTATGTAGTTAAACAGAGACAGATAAATTGTGCAATCTTTCATGGTTATTTTTTATAGGACATGGTGCACCAAATTCGGGCCAGGTAGAAGGAAATAGGATTCTCCTGAAGATAACAAAATTTCACGACATTTTATTGCCCCTGGATAAGATGGACTGTAATCCTAGTGTGTTAAATTTACTAGGTGGACATTACCTTCTTACAGCTTTTTTAATATCTTATCTTTCATCTGAAGCTGACTATTTTTCTGGATGTTTCATTTCTGGGTCTTTGTCAGTGAGCTCTTAATGTGTTATGTAACAGCATCTCACTTAATGGAATCTAATGCCTATATATACTTAAGTGAATGTATTTGATTTTACTCTTTCTAGTTTTGTTCAGTAACAACAGGCAGCATCACCCCTTTAACCTCAGGGTCATTGACTCAGACAAGAGGTTTCTCCCTCATTATTCCATCCTGATGGATGTCTAGGGACTCCCACAACAGCCCTCCTGTCTCAGCAGCAGCTCCCCTTCTCATTTATCCCAGATCTTTTGGGCTGTCAGCTTTTAATGTGGGGGCAGCTTCACTGCACCCAATAGCAGGAGCTCAGACCTGCTGAAAATGTCTCTATTCTCAGCACATTCCTCTGTTTCAGTGACGGCCACTCAAATTGTCTTATTCAGGAAGAAACAAGGAGACTGTTTTGAAAATGACAAGGTAGAAAGGGTCATTGAAAGTGAGGACTGCTATAATTCTTCCAGTTAAATTAAAGCACGTGAGTATGCTGAGAGCAGATCTTACCTGATGTATCAAGACCTGACAACCCCATTAGCATAAAAAAAGTGTGATAAAAGAGAACAAAATGAAAAACAATACCAATGCAAGGATCAAATTGATAGTAGAAGAGGAAAGCAAACTATTCCCAGTTTTACATTATAATTCGTAAACACCCAAATAACAGCAGTCAAAATGCATGGTGTTTTGTTTTGGATTCTTTTTGGGAAAACTGATATTTGTTTCTGTTTGTAGCCACATTCATGACGTGGTGCCTGACCTATGGATATTTAATTCTCTTTATGCCACTCTGGTTAGGAGGGAGAAATCCTTGCTTGGTTCCTCAAAGCAGCAAGCTGGCTTTAAGTAGAAAGTTAAAAAATAAAAAATATTTTTCAGCTCAAGTCAACTGGCTCAGTCAGAAACTGATAAGTTCCTGAGGTAGTGCCCTGCCAGAAATGCTGTGGGTTATCTGAAACTATCCAGTATACTTCCTCTCCTCTTATTTCCACTGTGTATTGTCCACAAATGGAACACAGAAGCCAAGAAAGGGTCCCCAAGAGTGCCACATGGGAGTGTTGGCCACCATGTGTCATCTGCAGAGATATATCTGGGTCTTCTGGGAAAAAGATCTGAAGCTTAATTATTTCCTGGGTAAAATTCCATAGACTTCACAGGAAGGATTTGAACCTGAGCAAATATTTAAATTTTGTGATAGTTCTGACACAGAAAATGTTTCATTGCCTTGGTTCATCTCAGCTAAGAATTAATAGCCTGAGATGATGAAGTTTGGGAAATTCAAGCAAGTGGAATGTATCCATAACGCTTTCACTTTGTTTGTTTGTTTTGTTTGATCTCAGAAATTGACCATCAAAATAAAAGATGTGTAATTTCACTAGGTATGATCGATTGTTTACTGCAAGGAGAAACTCTTAAGAAAAATACTCAAAGCAAATCTTCATTGTGTAAATCCAGCATCTCACTTTTTAGGGGTGGATTGCTGCTCAATGCCTTTCATTTCCAATGCAGCAATTCTGTTACCTTGAGCACTGTGACTTGGCTGAGGAATTTAGCCGAAAACGTCTGGAATCTATTCTGAATGTTGTTGAGAAAAGGCAGTACTTTGCTAAAAGCAGTGTTTAAGATGGTTACATTTTCCTTTAGATTTGTTCCATATTGCACTGCAAGTAGATTACATTGATTTTCATTCTAGGAAAAAAAAAAACAAAAAACAACAGTTAGTGAGCATCCAAGAGATCAGGTATGTTTAAAACTAAATATGTTGAGCAAGGAGTTCATTTGAACTGGTTTTGCTTTTCAGACACTGCAAATGGACATAAACAAGCTGAATATCACATTGCTTCGGATATTTCGCCAAGGAGTGGCTGCAGCGCTGGGACTGTTACCTCAGCAAGTTCACATCAACAGACTCATTGTAAGTACCAAAAGGCCACATACAATAAAATTTACCCAGTGATTTAGGATTCTCTTATTTATTATCCTGACATCATGGAGAACTTCAATAAAGTAAGACAGAAAAACACTTATTTTTCTGATAGATTTTTTTTCCAGAAGTGCGCTACAGAAAAATGGATCTCCATTACAAAATGACTTTGGTTTCCTTTTGAAAGGAAACCATTCTCAGTTACAGTCGAGAGAAAATGAAGTCAGATAAATTTATTTTGTCTTATTCGTAAGCAGTTTTTTTATCCCTTAGTTTGCATTCCAGTGCATTTCTACATCACATTTACCAAAAGCCACTTTTGTTTCTCAGAGGTTGAATCTTAATCAAAAAATACACATGCTTCTGCCTTTTGAATGCATCCTCACAATTTACCATCAGACCATCCATTAGTGAATTAAATGTCTCCTCACAATATCAACATTAATTACTTGTTACTTTGATATTGTAGACTATATTCACTTAATGCTAACATATCGTTTTTGTAGAAGAAATCTCCTTCCAACAGTGAAGATGTTTTAAAAATAATTTTCTCAGTATGCTTTTCTGTGGATGGTTGAGAGCATACATTCTTAAGGCTGTTGTATTTTTTTTTTTTTTTTTTTTTTTTTTTTGAGAATTAAGACATGATGCAGACACAGAAAAACCAACATCATGTGTATATTGCTAGCATTCAATTCATATTGCACCGGGAAAAAGAGTTATTCTACCTGCAAGTTGAATATTAGGGAAGAAAGCTGACAGGTTCAGCAAGCAAGTATTGCCTGCCTTGATAGCTCAATAGAATTGTATACATCAAAAAGGGCTATAAAGCTTCTTCAAATTATGTGTCAGGGAGAAAGGATCACACAAGACATACATCAGAGAAGATGAACAGGAATGCAGCACGGCTCTTTTCATGTTTGCCAGGATGCCGCTCATTCCTGACAAGTGATGCTGATTCTCCTTTGTCCTTTGTATTAACTCAAATGAAAGATATATTCAGAGAAAAACAAAACTAAAAAAGGAATGTTGCAGTTTGAGGTGCATGTTTCAACACACCCAGTCCCTCAGTTGCCTTCTTGCTCAGCTCTGTGGAAATTACCTAACCAAGCAGAAGAAAAGTGCTGTTCATTTTCCTGCTGACTTTACTTTCTCTTCTTGATTGATCTAAGGGAAGAGGTAATAGTGTTTTGAACCTGCACAGAGCTCAGAATACCTTAATTAATTAATTAGTCTTCTCAACATCTGTAAAACACTGCTATGAGTTAGTGTCTTTTATTGATGTAGGAAGGACACAATCTTTTGCTACGTTTGCTCTTAAAATCACAGGCAGAAAGTAAGAATTCACAAGTGATAAAAATACAGCTTAGGAGGCACTATTCTTACTTCCTGTTCTTCTACCATGAGCCAGATCTTTTCATGCAGAGTGCTGGCACATCAAAATTCATTTCATCTCACTCAATCGAGTTTGAGCTGCTGATGTAGGTTTCCTCCAAAGGCACTGTGGAGAAGGGTGATTGAAGAAGCATTGAGTGCCTGGTTATTTTAGGATGGATTCAGTCATTCACTGGAGAAGCCAGTCTCTCTGTGCTGGCTTTGGAGGTAATTTAGGTGACTAAAGTGAGGTAAGCTCTTAAGTTGGATTCACACACCCTTTGTGGACGTCAACACTGATCTCAGACCATCACAACCAAGTAGAGAAACTCTCTGGCAATCTCTTCTTTTGATGCTCTGCTGCAGTCATCATTGCTGACATCTCTAACATAGCACCATTTGCACTACTAGAACTGCAACAACAAAATCAGGGCAGGAATTAATGGGGGGGAGAAGCTGGCATGCTCAGCCTACTTTTTAAGCATCCTTTCATTTCATTGTGCTCTCTTGGGGAGTTACACTGCGGTCTACTGAAAATACATTGTAGTTAGTTATAGTGTGCGTTCACAACATGTGAACATGGGATTAGAACACAATGCCATAATACCACAGCATTATACTAAGCATTCCTGTTTAAGGCCCAGCACCCAAAACAGGGCTGCCCTTCAGCTGGGATCAGAACCATCAGTTAAAGTATTTCCAGAGTCTTCACCCTTGTCCCCATCTATGGCTCTTTCCCATATTTCGTTGACCTGTCTTGTTCAGTGGTTCTAAGGCCTTGTCAATAGTAAATAAGACAAAGCACATCTGGTCACATAGAGAATTTGCATTTTCCTGCGCAGTCAGCTGGAATTTAAGGAGCCAGGGAATAAGTGTGCTCTCCTCACAGAGCGGGTTGCAGTCTTTCTGTTCTGTGCTTTCATTTCTGGAGATATAGTTAAAGTAGGCAGATTATCTAGTCTCAGACCGCTCCTATGATTCTCCTTTTATTATTTTAATTATACTAATTATTATTATCGTTATTATTTTTCTAGGGCAAGAAGAACTGCGTGGAACTGTTTGTGTCTCCCTTGAACAGAAAGCCAGGAATTTCTGATGCACTCCCATCTGAAGAAGTTCTGCGTTCACTTAATATCAACATTTTGCATCAGAGTTTATCACAGTTTGGAATAACAGAGGTCTCCCCTGAGGTTGGTTATCACCTTTCTAACCTGTAGTTTGCTACAAAGTTGGCAGATCTTAGAGCCACAGTAGTTCTTAGGCTGAAGTTCTCATGAATGAGGGAATATGTCAACTAAGATGGCACTACTGCTGTACAGGAATTACACAGCTAGCCCTGCTAAGTTGCTTTAAAATTGCTTTTTAAGGCTCTTTAAGCATTAGAATCTAGTTCCCCTTGCAGAAAAAGGAAAGGTTCTGATGAACTGTTTCTCCCTACAACTAAGAGTTATATTTGCAGAGTACTCCTTCAGGGAGAAATAACTGCATGTATCAGTACAGGTTAGGGGATGACCTGCTGGAGAGGAGCTCTCTCTGGGGAGCATTAAAAAGAGTGTGGCCAGCAGGTCAAACGAAGTTATTCTCCCCCTCTGCTCTGCCCTGGTGAGGCCACACTTAGACTACTGCATGCAGTTCTGGACTCCCCAGTTCAAAAAAGATAGGGATCTCCTAGAAGAAATCCAGTGCAGGGCCACAGAAATGAGTAAGGGCCCCTGTAAGGAAAGGCTGTGTAACCTGGGTCTGTTCAGCCTGAGGAAAAGAAGGGGGGTGTGGTAAAAGTTTATAAATATCTAAAGGGAGGTGGGAGACAAATGGATGAGGCCAGACTCTTCTCCGTGTTGTTCATGATAGATCAAGGAGTAATGGCCTAAAACTTGAGAATAGCAAGTTCCATACTAACATGAAGAAGAAATTCTATATGGTAAGGGTGACAGAGCACTGGAACAGGTTGCCAAGAAAGGTTGTGGAGTCTCCTCTTACGGAGATATTCAAGACCTGGCTGAACACCTACCTGTGCAACCTGTTGTAGGGTACCTGCTTTATCAGGGGAGTTTGACTTGATGATCTCTTGATGTCCCTTCCAAACCCTGTGATTCTGAGAGCACATGTCTTTCTGAATCTAAACCTGAGCCAGTGCTGAGCTGCTATATTCACCTGTTTTTCTGCTGACTGGAAATGATTGTGCTCATTTTAGGGGTTCTAACCCTGCTTAACAATCTAGAAGATGTTTTCAGTATAAAAAAGACAACTTAAAACCAGTGTCAGTTTAGTGCAATTTTACATGACCTATAGCAATCTGCCACTATGAAAATGAGGCAATTCACAGGTTTTAGCTGTTCTAATGAAATAAATGCAGCCAAGTGATGTTGTCCAGAAGTCAAATCAGGCCTTTTTATTGCCCACTTTGCAACCTAGGCTAGGCTCACTTTAGGTTACAATATCCTTTGCTACTGAAACATATGAGAGTGACAGTTGTGATAAATGCAATTATCAGTTCAAGTGCTTAAGTTACAAATAACACTTCAGGTAGATGTGGGAGAAGAACATACATGAATAATAGATGAATGGAGAAATGTCATCAAGTTATGAAAAGATGCTGGAAAAAACCCAGTTGCTGAAATCAAAATCCCATCTATGTTAGACAGTAGTCTGGGCTGCTCAGGTATTTGCAATTTATCTCTGAAAGAAAGTGTAGAAAACCAGAGATTATCTGATAGAAAAGGATGATTAGGATGAAAGTTGTGCAGATTCTACCTCCTTCTCTCTTTCTAATACTGCTGGAGTAACAAAAGGTCATTTTGATATTTCAGTTGCATGCAAATTATACAGCTTAAACCCTGTTCCTGCAAAAATCTTGCAGTTTTATGCTGCTATTTACACTATTATTCCTTTTCAATCTTGATAATCTGTTTGCATGTGTAAGACTCAACAGAGAGCAGCAGCTGAAAGGCAACTAATCAACTACTCAGATCAACTACTAACCATTTATTTTTCACTCAGCTATCAGCCCTAACTAAATCATGAGTGAATGAATTGTAGTCTTCCACCAACATTTCTGAATTCTTCCCAACCAGTATTACATATACATTAGCAATGCATTTGTGCAGAAAGGAAGTATGATCCTCCTCTTTCCAGATAGTGGCTCGGAGATGTTAGAACTGGAATTCTTCTCTAGTATTAGTTGCCTTTTTCATTATTAGCTGTGTTAGATTTGAAAGGCTACCAGCTCTCTCTGCAGTAATCAGAATGAAAAAGATACCTTCAGCAGGCAGCTCAGCCCATCTCAGACGTACCTCTCTTGAGTTTGCCTGGTTGTCACTTTCTAACAGAGCTTAGCATGTGCTAGACTCCTAGTTACAGTGAGCCAGTGGTGGTGGAAAGAAGAAACTTTACTAAGATGTGGTGGGAAAACTGGGGTGGAGAACTGAAGCTCTTTCCTAAAGTCTCAGCCCATGGTGATACCACGAATAGCAAAATTCTCAGTGGATATAGGTGTCTGGAACTGTGTTTCCATTTGTTCTGGTAGTAATTAGCAAATTCACGTCTACTGATGCATTAATCACTGATGGATTTATTTTCAATTGCATCACTTTTCTCAAAATTCATATCATACTTTCTTATTATGCAGTTGTTGGAAGAGCAGATTTCCCGTATGTTTTTGCTGTAGGAACCACTGCCTGCTGTAGAATGGAAAAGTGTACCTGTGGGAACATGAAATTTTAATACAGTCGAGTCATTGCCACTTCAGGGATCCAACCCAATAGATATTTTCATATATCCTTTCTTTTCCAATGGCTTATTGTAGTTGCAGCATTTGTTCTTTTATTTTGCTCTAAAAGTTTGTGTCTGAAGTGGAATTTAGGGCTGTATTCTGATCTGTGGTGTCATAGGGCAGTGAGCAGACTTCCCAAAGACAAGTAGCTGCTGAACTGGTGCTTCTTGATGGGACTAAATTCAATCACCTATGCAGTCTGTGTCATTACATTCTGAGAATCCCAATGCCTTAAAATTGTGCTGAGAGAATAAAAAGAAAATACTATTGAATTTCAGAGCTTAGTAGAATAGAAGATGACTTCGAAGTAGTTTTGGATAAAGGAATATCTGAAGTTATGGTGACTAAAGTAAGTTTTACTGTGTTTTCTGAGATAAACTAACTGTTAGCTGGGAGTTGTAGACTAAGGAGAAATCTCCATGAAAGAGTATATTCCAAAATTATGCAATCCCAAAATGTACAATTACAGCAGCCTTGCATAAGCTTCTATTGTTTGCTTTTGAAGTGTGTGATATTAACTTCTGCTAGAGAAGAAATCAAAGGAAGCAGCCATGCACTTAAAGCGTACAGAAGCCATAAGTCAGTGAGCTGACTGGCACACAAAGGAGGGCCCTGCAGGCTGACAGCTTTTCTATGAAATCACAAGACTTCATCGCACACACGTGTAAGGGCTGAATGCCAGAATGGAGAGAATCATCATGAAACTGAAAGGTGACCTTGGCAGTAGCTTAGCACAGCATAGTTAGAGTGTTTGAGGAAGCGTTGTCATAGGGGATGTTAAGAATTCAATGAGGTCACTGGTGTTCCTCCCTCTCTATGGGGAAGTGATTTCTTGGCAGTCCTCTGCTAACACTGTTAGAATAGCAGAAAAATCAAAGCAACCCAATATGAACTTCAGTGAACCCTTTATGATCCTAAATTTGATCCCCAGCTCTACAGAAGCTTTCCTATGAGGTCTGAACTGTCATGTGCCATGTTTTCATTAGTGTTTCAGCCTAAGGAAGTAGTTGAGGTTAAATGACCCAAGTTAAGCATTCACCTTTTTTTCCAGAGAAGGATTAACTTTCTTGGCAGCTCCTGAAATCTTGACAGGATCTTTCAGTTCCTGATTTTACAGTGATTGCTTCAGGTTGGTGTCTCTCTTGCTGGCTGCCCATTTCACTTGTAGAAATAACCTGCTAGGTTTCTGTAGCAAGACCAGAAGGGTGAATAGATACAATGTTTGGTATTTTTAAGTCCATAAAAAGTCATTTTTTCTAAACACACATTTTTCCACGTTAGAGCAAAGCAGTCACCTGTGCAGGCACTCTTCTGTGAGGCTGACAATAACATGGGACTCTGTAGAATACAGAATGTGATTTTTTTCCCATCTTAAATGATGTTGAATTAAAACTATTTATATGAACCAGGCTAATTTTGCCTAAATCACTCACCTGACTAAGGAGACTGCTTACAGAATGGAGTCAGACACTAAGAACATGATAATGAACATGGTGTCCACCCTCCAGAGTGTAGCCAGGCTTGCTCTGGGACCAGATAGGGCCTGTGCTACTGGTGCTCCCTAGCCAGCCCCATGCTTTTGTATTCCTCACGCCTTTACTAGTTGTGCCTATTTGCTGTTCAGCTTGAGCTTTTCTTCCTATCTTTTCTTTTGCTTTTCCCTCAGCATTTGGCTGTCCTGTGAGCTTGTTTCCTGGGTGTTAGCAATTTGCAGTGCATGTGGCAACTGCTGTCCTTCTTATCAGATCTCTCAGACCCAAGAGCAAAGTTCTGACTTAGCAGTGCTAACATTTCAGAGAGCAATTTCTTATCATGGAAGCGAAATGACTCAGTTGCTGGAGGTCACAGCCTCTTCTGTCACTGGGAAGCAGCTGAAGGAAGGATTCTGCTGTCCCGAATGCTACTCAGTTAGACCAGGGGGAGAGATTTCCTTCCTTGGGTGAAGGGACTGCTTTGTTGTTTCAAGGTGGTGTGCTGGACCTGTGAAAGCCATAACATACTTGTTTTTCACTCTTTTTTTTTTACAGCATTTGTTGATATTGTTTGAGATTTCCTTTTCAAAAGACAAATCTGGGAAAAGCATATGCTGAATACATGTACCATTAGACAGACACTATAGAGGTAATTCATTTAGTATCAGTTAAGTACATTAAGTAAAATATAAATACGCTAAAAAAGTTTAGTAACACTAATGAATTTTGGTTAATTGAAACCTTTTACCCTTTACAAGTCTGTTTCTGTACTTCAGCAGGTAAAGGATTTCCATGCTGTGACTTTCAAGGAAACTCTTACTTATGATGCTGAAAGCAGCCAAGTTCTGGTTATATATATACATTTTTATTTTTAGCAAGCAATTCTCTGTGAATTTACCATGCTATATGATGCTTTTCTGTGCACTTGCATCTCGTGACAGTGTGATCTGTGAATTATCTTGCAATAGCATTGTCTTGCCTGTTTTTAAAGCAGGCAGGCCACAAATCTGCACTGAAAGGAGAATGTGCACATTACAATGGGATGCAGCATTCAGCCTGGTATTTGTTTGCCTTCCCTTTCCCCCAGGACATGCTCTCCTCCTCAGCAGGCCTTACTAGATGAGTTCAGTTGCATCAGGGCTCTCTAAATCTGGGGGACTCGTGGACAGTTTGGGGAGCCTGCTTGATATGATGATGTCCAAAGGAATTTACTGTCTATCCTAAGTCCTGGAGGGTCCCTGCAGTAATGCAGGTCCAGCAAGCAGCCACTCATCCCTGAACAAACTCCTCCCTATGTAGAAACAGGGCAATTCTTAGCCCCAACACGGTGTCCCTGGGAGGAAGGAAAGCCAATGTGCCATGAGAAGGCAGCTCATTCGTTAATAAGAACTGTAAATAAAGACATTAGGGGATTTCAAGGCCAGCTTGAATGGGGCCTTGGGCAGCCTAATCTAGTGGGTGGCAGCTCTGCCCACAGCAGGGTATTGGAACTTGATACTCTTACAAGTCCCTTCCAATACAAGCCATTCTATGAATTTCAGTGAAGGGGAAAAACAGAGACTTTGAACATGCCAAGTGGAAACGGAACTTAAGATATGTGTGCTTCCCCCAGTACTGTACTGAATGTGCAGTTAAAGAAGTGGAAAGAAAATGAACGGTGGTGAGGAGAGCAGTGTCTTCTTATCTTCTGTCAAGGATCCAAGCAGCAGAAGGTTCCAGTTCTTGCAAGAGAGCATACTTTCTTGTAAATAACATGTTGCAGTTAGGATGAGAGTGCACGTACCCTGTTTCTGCTACCATATATATTTAGAAACGTAGTGAAATTCTGATTCTTTAACAGCTCGCCCCACTACAGTAAAGCCAATAATACATGCTTTTGCAATTATTATTGTTTCATAACCTCCATGAGTTCCCCGGGAGTTCTTCAAATTAGAGTGTGCACAGAAGTGTAGGATCAGCAGGAACCCAGAAGTAACGAGATTACTGGAAGCACATTCAGAATTACTGCTAGTAGAATTCTGAAAGTACTTTTAGCGTAATGGGAGTTTTGCTGTGCACGTAACATCCGTGCAGGTGTCAGTGGTAAAGGCGGCAGCAGCAGGGCGCATGGCTCCTGGCGAGTCACCTGCTGTCACTGTGTAAAGTGCAAACAGGTTGGAGGCTGGCGTGTGGGCGGTGGGGCAGGAGATAAGCAGTGGGAGAAAAGGGCAGCATGAGTTGTTTCCTCAGCCCACGCCGAAGCGCTGCCCTTTCCTCTGGTCAGCCAGGTAGTTTCCAAGGAAGAGCACGAGCTTTGTTTGCTTAAGCCTCAAAGCAAGGGTTTGCTGGTATGGGAGCAGCAGTCACAGAGAAGATCTCAGGTCATCTGATGTGGCACCAGGGCCACACACAGGCAGGGTGCTGAGCTGGGGCAGGGGCTCAGAATAAGTGTCATCGGCTTGGGAACGTGAGTGGTGGCTGCAGGAGATGGGGTTTGGTGCCTGACGGGAGCTATTTCATCTGCCCGTGCTACTGCGTAATTTTTTTTTTCTCTCTCTTCCTCTTTCTTTTTTACTTCTTAAAAAAGAAAAATGTTTTGCAAGGCCAGCGGGAAGCAGACAAAATCTGGAGCAAAGAAGGATTTTACGCGGTTGTCATATTTCTCAGCATCTTTGTCATCCTAGTAACTTGTTTAATGGTAAGTTTTACTTTTTTACCTTTTTTTTTCTTTCTTTTCTTTTTTTTTGCTGTTCTTTGCTTCATACTTTTCTCAGTGTGAAGGATAGAGTCACATTCTTTATATGAGACGTGTTTCTTCAGAGCTGCTAAAAACTAAGCTCTCATCATGCTGTGAAGCCAAACTTTGAAGACATACATTTCTTGAAATGTTTTAATGTTTTCAATCCAGCTGCAGAATTTATCTAGAAGGAAGTTGAAGAAGTAAATCACAGTCTCTAAGCTTGCAGAGTAACTATGCAGTGATGTGAATGATGACTTCTCAGTCTTCTTACTAAGGTCCCAGATCACTGAAGCTGTGTTAGCCTACTGTTTCAATTAATGGATAATAATAAAAAAAAAAAAGCCACAATCATAAGCTACTGGTAATGTTCAGTTGTTAGAAAGAGAGAAAGTGTGTGTCTATGTTCATCTATTGAATATACGTATTCTAAACTGAAGTGATAGGTAAGTACACAAAGTAATGACAGTGTTCTTGAACAACAAAGACACTTCACTGTTTCTGGTTGTTGGAAACACAGTGCTGAATGTGAGCTGTGCAAAGGTCATGCAGACCAGGCACAAGGCTTGACCACCATCCACTTTCCCATGCCATTCTGCATTTCTCCTGTGTTAAATCTCACATACTGTATGTCTCCCATGGTACATAAACATATGAGTTTACTGAATCCTGTGAAAATTCTCATCATTTGTGAATTCATAGTACCTTGGAGTCTTTTCAGTTATTTTGCTTGCAAACACATTTAATGTTTAATTTAATCTAGGCAGATTTCCCACTTATAACCTTAGGATGGAAAGAACATTTTGTCTGAAGATTTAAATGTTCGAATTTATAACAAAATCTTATTCAAACTTAGTCTCTCATGAAAATTGTTCTTTTTCACAACTCCTACTTCCTAGTCATTTCATTTCTATGCCATCTCACTCCAAGATAGCAAGGTAACTCTAGAAGTAAGTACTTTTACTTCAGATTTTTACTTTGGAGAAACAGAATGCAAGATGCTTTTTGGCAGAAGGGTCCAAAAGCAGATAGCTTAGCAGCGTGTGCCAGTGACTTGCAAGCATCCTTTAACGTATGGAGTAGGAAGGAATGCATTAGACATGGAGACCAACACTCAGCTCCTGCTCCCCTCAGCAGTGGGAACACTGGCTTGCTTCTGCTGGAACATTGTGTATCATTTGTAAACCACACTCAGTAAAGTATTAAGTAGGAATAACAGCTTCAGTGCTCCTATGTGTAAAATAGAACTCTATTTTTTGCTTTACAAAGAGAAATGACTGAGCTATCACTAAACAGTGCAGTATTTGGCAGTTGATTAAATTGTTAGCTATTACTCTTTCTTACTAATTTTTCCTGTTTTGATAAACCAGTGTGTTTGCATATCCTTTTTTTTTTTTTTTTCCTTTTCTCTTTTTAATATAAACTTTATATATAGATGTTTTGAATGGTCTGGAAGTATCATTTTCAATTTATGAAATGCTTTAGTTGTTATAAAGTGGTTTTCTAAATGACGTGGTTCTTTTCACTTCAAAAAAAATCAGAAAGTTAGTTATTTTTTCATTTAAAATATTGAAAGATACGAATTTTGTCTTGTCAACAAACGTGGGAGTCTAAATTTTTATTACTGGCTCCAGTGTCTTATAAATTATGAACGGTTATTTGATGCTCTGGGGAGATTGTTCCTTGAATTAGGAATATTTTTCAACTTCATGATTGTAATTTGGAGTTCCTTCAAAAAGAGTACTGAATAACAAAAAAAAGACCAATATTTCAATATCCATTTTTTCATTTGTTTATAAGGTCACAAGTTTCAAGATTCATAATCTGGTTCAGGCTTTTTGAAAGCAATTAAAGTACAGGATATCTACATCTAACTAATATCAATCCACCAACTCCAGCATTTTTTTACCAGTTTAAAGATACGCAGTTTAATTATACTGCAATAGTGTCTAAGCTGACTCAAAAATAGCATTTTTGTGTATAAACTAGTTCTGGATTGCCTGAATTCTTTTATTCTGTTTCTATAAAACCTTTTATAGTGCATTCAAATCAAGGTATTCAAATACCTTGCAGTAGTAGTACATTATATGACATGACTAATACTTTATTTCATTCTTTCCCCAGTGTTGAAGGTGATTTTTTTTGCTTGGCTTTCTTCTCACGTACATACACGCATCAGCTTGGCTCATGCAGAGATGTGCACACAGCCACATAGGCATGTTGATAAGCACTTGTTAGAGAACACTTTTAATTAGAGTGAACCATCTTCATTTCCTTGGTTTTGGTGAGATTTTGCTATTCTGTCCTGGGTGCCCTAAATACCTCTAGGCAGATGAGTTTTTGTATCGCTGTTCCGTATAACAGTTGCCAAGAACTTCATCCCAGAAACCTACTTCTCTCTTTGTGGTTTCCCATTTCTCTCTGAAGATGAAAAATGGAGTTCTACTGGCAGTTTGAATGGGTAGCTTGGAGGTACTGGCCAAGCTATCACATCAGCTTTCCTTTGTAGAACACTGAGCAGAAATGAAGAATGATTATCATGGTGTGAGCAGCCCATCATTCTTCCGCATACGCCAAGTCAGGGGACAAAGAAAAAAAAGAATTAATTTCCCACTGAAGTTGGCTTTGAACCCTAGATCTAATACATGAAAAGTGAAAAGTTGACCCCCTGTGTGTGTCCTGGAAAACAGTACTTCATGTTGCTCCTTGCTTCTTTATTATCTACATAATGAGTCTTCTGAGGTATCAATACAGAATCAGTTTTCCTAGTTAAGGCCTTCATATCCATTTCCACCCATACTGCCAGATATGATTAAAGAGACTTGAAATAACACAACCAAGTTTACTTTTCAGAGCTTGGTAACTTGATTGACCACTGCCTTTTTGGCCATCATCATTTTTTTCTTACTTTTATCTGGAATTCATTTAAAAACTGACTGGTTCACACCGCTGAGGATCACATGTAGTTCTGCAGCTTTTTTTCAACTTCTGCAAGTATTGGCTGTCTTTTTTTCTTTTTTTTTTTTTTTCCCCTTGAATCTTTTAATTAAATGTATTAAAAAGTTTAGGAACTAATAACAGTACAGTTTTGGAACCCAGAGCCATTATTTCTTGGGATCTCCAGGGAAAGAAACTATGTTTAAGCACATCAGAGACAAGAAGGTATGGTTAACACTGTCATGACAGTGACTGTCTTATCTGTGTTTATGGTTTCCAGAAGCAAATGAGGCCAAAGTCACTGTGATGAAGGGTTAAAATATTTCAAATCCCTGATAGCTATGTCCCTGCTTCATAGCAGGGCTGTTTTTCTGCAAAACTGTGGCCGAGAGAGTTTATCTGTGCCATTTAATTCTAAACTCTTCTGAATGAACAGATGGTTTACACAGCTAAGTCTTGTTTAATGGGTGTATTGCTAATGACATTAGGTCAGTTCCCAGCTAAACCTCTAACGCTAATCCTTGAAAAAACAAACTCGTCAGATATATCCAGTCTTCACTGAAAAGCTTTGGAGTGATAGATCTCCGTGCAGTGCTAGCAGGGAAATAGACATCAAAAAATGCAGCAGAAAAATTGCTTTGGTTGAGGCTCAGTTTTTATGGCTTTGCAAGCAGAGTGGTAAGTATACAGATATGTGCAGGTACCATCATAGAGCTGTGTGAGCACCTTTCAACCATTTCCAAACGTAATACTTATGGTAATGTGACTGTCACAAAAGATGCACTGGTAATTGTCGGAAGTTTCATGGCTCTTAGGAGCATTTTGTAAGTGGAACAGCCATAGCTCAGACCGTATTTTTGATGTTCCCCTCAAGAGATGAGGACAGTTACACCAGTGTAACATAGGCTCCTTTGGAATAACAGAACTGAGCGCTTGCTATCTGTCAGCTCTTGCCAAGCCCCTGTATGAGAATATCAGCATGGAGCTCAATGGAAGAAGATCAGTACAAGTTTCTGAAAAGCTTTTGCTGCACATATACACTGTGAGATGTCAGTGTCTTGGTAATTGTAAAACATGTTTCTGAACAGTCACAAATCCCTAAATACCTTCATAAACTATGTGTCTGTTCAGATTTATTACAGAATAGGTAATGTTTCCATAAGGATATTGAGAAACCGAGAAGTATTTTGGGGCAGTAGCATCCTACCCTTATAAAAGTGGCCTGGTAAAATTACCCTGCTCAACTATAAGCATCTGTTTTATTCTGTGTCATTGTCTCTCCTTTGCTAAAATCCTTATACATTTGTCTACAGTTACTTTATTAATCATGTTTCCTTCTTCATACAGATTTTTGTGACTATTTTCCATTCTACGTTATTTGTCCCTGTAATAATGCTGGTATTACAAATAATTACTGGCTCACAACAAGAACTGTTAAAAATCTCTGCCGCCCACGTGCACGCTCTGTGGTTTATGTAATGAAAATATTTATCCTGCTGTGAGAAATTCCATGCAACATAAGTTGTGGCTTACTTTCTAGGAATAAAAGCCACATTTAGCAATCTTATTGTATTTGTGGTTTCTTCTTTACCTTGTTTACCAGTGAATCAGAATTGGGCTCTCCTCTCTGTTCCAATAGGTTCTGTATAGATTAAAGGAGAAGATCCAATTGTCACTGAGACAAGAGAAGGAAAAGAAGCAAGAGATCCACCTCTCACCACTTCACCTGCAGACATCTCGGTCTGAATATAAGACTACCAACAGCATGGTCCAGCCTGAACAGGCTCCAAAGGTTGTCAATGTGGTAGTGGACCCTCAAGGCCAATGTGTTCCTGAGCTCAAACCTCCCCCGTGTGCCAGTCCGTCTCCTTTCAGAATGAAATCTGTGGGGCTCCAGGAAAGGTAGGATGGTGCCCAGCACATTCAGAATTTGTTCTGTTTTGTTATACAATTTCTGTTGTTTGATTTTAGGAGGAAGTTTTTCACACAGAGGGTGGTGACACACTGGAATAGGTTGCCCAAAGAGGTTGTGGATGCTCCATCCTTGGAGGTATTCAAGGCCAGGCTGGATGTGGCTCTGGGCAGCCTGGTCTGGTGGCTGGTGACCCTGCACATAGCAGAGGGGTTGAAACTAGATGATCATTGTGGTCCTTTTCAACCCAGGCCATTCTATGATTCTGTGATTGCCTATGTCTCCTCTGACTGTGGACTGGAGGTGTCATCTTGCAGACATCTTAGATGTGGGATTTTGGTGTGTTAGTGTCTGTCTTATGGGTGTTCTCTCGTTTCCTTCTCACACGTGCAATGATCGAGAAGTTTGAGCTGATACTAACTGTAGTACTATAACTCCTTTTGTTAATTTGTTTCTTCCCCTTTCCAACAGTTACCTCAAATCATTTTTTTCTTTTTCCCTTTACTTTGCCTGTTTTGATCCTGGAGATCCTGGCAGAGGGCAGAGCAGCTGCTTGCCTTTTGTCAGCAAAGGACATTCACATTGTTAGGGAATCCCTAATACGTGGGAAACTTAGAAAGGAGAAAAATTGCAACTGAATATGTTTACTGATCGTGTATAGTATTTTTGTTATCACCTTAAGATCATTTTTCTTCTCAAATCCAGCTTTCTCTTATGATAGGGGTACAGCCTAAGGTCTGCAGCCATTACAAAAAAGAAAAAGAAGTGATTAGTAATGAAAGCAACCCTTTTGATCAGCTCTTTAGAAATACTTGTGTACCAGACATTGTTGCACAAAACTCATTCTACCTTTAAAATACTGGGCTAGTTTTCTTTTTCTGAAACTAGTTATTCATCCAGCAGGAGAATGCACACTGACATCTGTCTCTCCTCTGTTAGAAACCTATATAATTTCTTGCCTCATGGCTGCAGGCCGCTTTCATAAAGCATCAGTGCTCTGAATAACTAATGTAGCATGCAGCCATGCAACTGAACTCTTCTGCCCCAGCACAGAAGATAAATGAAAGAACAGACACCACGCAGATTTGACGGGAAAATCAGAATGGAAAGGCAGACCAAGGGGAGCATTCCCTTTGAGGACTCTCAGAGCTGAGCCGTAATTCTGATTCACTTGGAAGAGTGGGATTTCAGTGACAGATTTTATCAATGGCTGTATGAACCATACTGAGTTTTCCACAAGTAAAAGATGCTGAAAGGCAAATCTGTCATAAAAAGTGTAGTCATATCACAAAATAAGGAATGGGGGAAGCAAGCAAATCAGTTTTGATACTTGCTCTCATTCCAACTCTCATTTATATGTAGGATTCCAGATCCTAGATATAAAGCACATAGCGTGGGATGTGAGAGAGTAAACAACAGGAAATAGGTTGTATTATTGTCCTCTGAAATAAGCAGCTATTACTGTGGGATCAAGCCTGGGCATCCCCTCCAGATCATAGCTACAGCTTGGGGGCCCCCGTTCAATAGAGATATCAGCCCTGATACTGTTTTTTGCCAGGATGAGAAGCTCTTGACAGACTTATGTGTGTATGGGGACTTTTTGACGAAGTCAGCATTGAGTTTCCTTTGGCCAAGTGACTTCACAAGGGGTCCTAAGAAGTAGTTTCTGACTACCCAAGTCCCCATTTTGATTTCTGAAGTCTGACCCATGGTTATAAAACAACTCTTACAATCCAGACCTGAGAAAATTGTCTCGCTTCAATGAGAATCAATGCACTGTTGGCCACACAGGGGAGTGAGTCAGGAACGGTGCCCAGCCAGCTAGAAGCAGTCTGGCAGCCGTGTCTGAGTGATGGGGCAGAAAGGCCAGACACTGCCTGTCTCTCAAATTCTACATGCAAAAATATCATTGTGCATTCAAGAAGCACAACATCTGCCCCTCTCAACCTTTCCATTTTTAATATGAATCACATTAGCTGGTACAGATGCAGACAAATTGTTAATCGAGAACTGTCCATACGCTATCAAAATGCTTTTGGGAGTTTGCCCAGCTTCTTAAAAATCATTTTGCTTCTGAACGCTGGAGCTAAGTCTTTGAACTTTTTTTTTTTTTTTTTCCTGCATATCTCTCTGAAAAGGCTCTTTTACTCATTTATACAACACAGTTTTCCAGTATATTATTTAACACTTGCATTATTAAATGTAGGGTGTCACAACTGATTTTTGTGTGACACGTACTCTGGTGCCCCGTGCCTTGATTAATGCAGCTGTATGTCTAGAAAGCAGCACGGACCTAACAGTGCCGTAGGTTTGCTCTCGGACGCTATCAAGCGGCTAGGACCCAGTTCTCAGCCAGATTCACAGCCCATCACCGGGACCGTGTCCTGGGCCTGCCAGGGCCGCAGGGCTGCCGAGAGTCAGACACCGGGCCGGGCTGTGGAGCGGCGCTGGGCTTGGCCGGGGGAAGAGCGACATCTAGAGCGGGCGGGAGGCTGCCGTGCTGTGCTGTGCTGTGCTGTGCTGTGCTGTGCTGTGCTGTGCTGCCTGCATACAGCTCTGCGTTCCCTGCAGATCCCAGCTTAGAAGGAACCCACAAAGGTCACTGAGCCCAACTCAATCCCAGCCCTATGTCTGAGAACGGTATTCAAACGCTCCTTGAACTCTGGCAGCTTGGGGCCGTGCCCACTGCTCTGTGGTGAAGAGCCCTAACCCCCACACGACCCGCCCCTAATGCAGTTCCATGCCATCCCCTCAGGCCCTGTCACTGCCACCACTGGAACTGGATGCTCTTTAAGGTTCCTTCCAATCTAAGGCATCCTGTGATTCTATGATTCTACCCATTTCTGAGGGACTGCTCTGTAGCCTCTCATCCCCCAGTCTGTACTTACATCCAGGGCTGCCCCCTCCCAGGTTCAGAAACTGGGTAAAGTTCAGGATTCTGAAATAGCTATTCTGAATAGCTGGTGGTGGATTGGCAAGCATTTTTTAGTCCAGCTTTGGCTGTAGATCTGTAGATTCTTTCCCAGCAGATTAAGGCTTTACTTTATTCAGCTGGGTGGCTCAAAGTTGATATGAATGGTTCCAGCCAAAATCAGAATTTGGTGATTGGGATGTGATATTTCCTACATGTCAGGATTTGAAAGTTCCTAGTACAAGCAGTGATTTGTTCAAACACAAGCATGATGGGGATATAAATAAGTTACCACACCAGCACAGCATTCATTTGTTTTACAGATGAATTTACTTTTTCCTCAGACACTGCTGCTGTTTTTTAGTTCTGGTATTATTTTTGACTAGGACAACTGTATTTCAAACTAGTGTTTTGTTCAGATAATTTAGTTATTATCTAGCATGCAAAAGTACATGGAAGAAAAGAGACTGTGGAAAATATCTGCTCTGTTGTGTATATTAAAAAAACCATAAAGAGTGCTTTGGAAAGTATTCCAAAGCATTTGTATCCCTTCCTAGGTACAAAGACCTAAAACTGTCTATTAAATCTAAATAATCAATGGGAAAGATCACAGCAGTGTTTTCTTGATCTGCTACGAATTCAATAGGAAATGATTATGTCTAAAAGAGACAGCTCATCACGTTCATGTGTCTGGATGCTAGAGGCATGCAGGACTAGTTTGCAACATCTAGTGATAGTCAGGAGACATCAGAACAGAGAATAGTCAGAAGAAAAATCACCAAAACAATGCCAATTATGATGTCCCACAGACAGCGCTAAATCTTAGCTTGAACCTTGATTATGAGAGATCTGTACATGGTGCTGTTTTTCCCTACAAAGCAGAGCAGTACTATCAAAGCCTGTGGCACAGGTTGTAAGCAGTGAGATGTCCCTTATCATCTGGGAGATGCCCATGAGTTGACAGTTCTTGTCCAGTTCAAATAGATGCTCAGTAGACATACAATAAGAATAGCTACTTGTAAGTATAATGAAAGATAGGTTAAAATAATGTGTCTTGCAAAGCTAATAAATGGTCGCCTCTGTCTGTTTCCTTATGATTTAAGAATGACAGAAAAGCAGTAAAGTTTTAAATAACTTGAATAAATAGTAATGTGCTCAGATTGCCCATACTAGTCTATGGAACTCTCTGCCAAAAGGTAATTTTTAAATCAGGAATGTGTTATCAACAGGTGCTCATACATGTACATGCACAGAACTAATGAGAACAGTGGTTGTTGTCTATCTTCCCTTGGCATCCTTCCTCAGAAACATCCTCTATTTGACACCTTTACAGAGAAATTGTGGACAATTTGGAGTTGGAGGAAAATTCCTGTGTTAATGCTGATAGTTGTTCTCTTCTCATATGAAGGCTGCTCCAAAAGTAATTCCTCTTGTTTTATTACGTTGGCCCACAACATCAAAGGCGAATGGATTTTCATGGTATAGCAGTAGATGTTAAACCTTCTCACCAACATTCTGTTACATGTTGTTGCTGTGTGACAGATGGCAGCATAGGGGCAGTCAGACACAATGGCATCTGACATAGGAGTGCATATGATGCAAAGATGTGTAACAGAATTCCTCCATGTGGAAAACATTGCAGACATTTACATTCTTTGACATTTGCTGAATGTTTATGGACACGAAAGAGTGGTTGTGAACACAGTGAAAGTTGCGCTGCACTGGCAGCATTTTCCTAGCAATGAAGCTGTTGTAGCAGTTGTGAAACTTTGGCTCACCTCCACTGGTGCATGTTTTGCTGTGACAAGCATGGCATGCAGGCTCTTGTTCATCACTGGCAAAAGTACATAGTTTAGGGTCACTGGCTATGTTGAAAAATAGTTCTTTTTTTTTTGTAGCTGGGAATTTGTTCTATCAAATTGTGTTATTGTGCTCTTTGGTGTAGTTTCCATGGAGGCATTACTTTCAGAATGACCTTTGTGGTTATTCTGCATAGCCACACAAACTGAACTATTTTTCTGGCCACATGTACAATTTTTGCTCCCTATCAATTGCCATCCAGCTGATAAATACCACGGA